AATAAACATTTATATCAAAACTAAATACTTCCTAAATGAAGTTAAGTTACATTTCCTGATGGATCCTTTGAGGCTGATGCAGATAATTGTGAATTTGCTTTTCTTAAATTTCCTAAATGGCCACATTTATTAATCAAGAAAACAAAACATTATCACTAAAAGCAGTGATGATGCATACGCTTCATGCGATCTCAAGGCACAGCTGCTGTATGCACTAACGAATTGGCTAATGCCAATACAAGCAAATGTTGAGATCGGCTCATTAACTCTGGGTGTTCAGATCCCGGCAGGTTTAACTTCACGCCTCGCCTGTATCAGCTGACCAGCAGTTCTGGGGAGTTCACTGCTGTGGAGTTTCTCTACCCTGCCAGAGACCCCGAGCAGGTCAACTCCATGCCTTTCCTGCAAGAGGACCTCTATGGAGCCTCACAGCCAGGTATCCGTGAAGTTCTGGGAATCAAAGACGGTTTCTGTCATCGTCTGACTCTGTTTGTTCTGCTGTATTTGTCGTTCAGCTCTTTTCCTGGTGGACAACCACCACGAAGTCTACTTGTGGCAAGGCTGGTGGCCTCCAGACAGCGAAAGCACGGGCTCGGCCCGAATCCGCTGGGACTCTGATAGAAAGTGCGCCATGGAGACGGTGCTGCAGTACTGCAGAGGTATTTAAAGAAAAACAATCTGCAAGAGATGTTAGAAATGATGCCGTTTTAGGACTGCTCTGAACCGGTGGTGTTTGTTCATGCAGAGAAGAACGAGAGGAAACCTCCCAAAGCGTACCTGATCCACGCCGGCTTGGAGCCGCTCACCTTCACCAACATGTTCCCCTGCTGGGAGCACAGAGAGGACGTGGCTGAGATCACTGAGAGGGTGGGCTGAAGCCTCCCTGAACCAGAGAAACCAAACACCTGCTGAGATACTGAATGAAATGTCCTCTGTGTCGGCAGGAGGCTGAGGTGTGTAACCAGATCATCCTGGTGGAGGACGTGTTGGCCCGCCTGTGTCAGACCACCTACCCTCTGGCTGAGGTCCTGGCCCGGCCGCTGCCTGAGGGGGTGGACCCTCTGAAACTGGAAGTCTACCTCTCTGATGAGGACTTTGAGGTGAGAACCTGCGTTCTAACCCTAAATCACTGACGTTCATTTAGAAATCCTACAGATTCTTAGCCTGGACTTGGACTAGGCCACTCCAACACATGCATACGATCTAAAGCTTTTCACTGCAGCTTTGCCTGAATGTTTAGACCTAAAAGTCCAACTGGAAGATAAAGTGATGGATTGAAAATTCAAAGCTTGGGACATTTCTCTGTTGTCTAATCCTGCTTATACTCCTCCACTGCTTCCTCCCTGACCTGCCTGCTGTGCTCCTTCATTTATTCAGTAAAAAAAGGAGTTAAAAATAACAAGTCCATGGTTTGTGCTGGGGTTTATTTAGGGGAATCAAAGTGAAAGGGACTGAATTTTGTTAGTGCTGTAGCTTTTTGTAAACAGTAAATACATTCAAGTCTCTTAATATCTGACTATTTTCCCGTAATTTAAGCATCTAAATCAAATGATCTACCAATGGAATGATAGTTGTTTCCTCTAAAATACCATGATGGAGCTTAATGGTTTTTATTTGAAGCATAACTTATCTAACTATTCCAAATGTTCTTAATTACCTGCTTTAGTTAAGCAAACATATCACTAGATTGATCGACAATTAGGAGGACCACTTATTGAGATGATTCACCGGGAAATAAAAGATATTCTTCTATAGCTTTAATGTATATCCAATGCAGAGCTAACCTGACTCCGCCAGATGGATTTGCTCCACATATCCATCTGGAAACCTTCCATTGAAGTAATTTTGGGAAGGGGCGAAAATACTGGTTAGCTGATTGGCCTATGTTGGTGATAGACGGGCCAAATAAACCAATCAGATCAACGAAGCATTTGACGTACTAACAGGGTGACGACAAAA